CCCTGCCGGCAGCCAGCCCCGCTGCCGCCGTCCTCGCAGGCTGCCCGCGCTCGGGCTGCCCTGCAGCAGCTGCGAAGTTGGGGGTGAAGCCGGGGCCTCCCTGCTCTCCCCCTGCGCCGGTTCCCCGGGCCCGCCGAGCTCAGCGCAGCTCCTGGTGTGTCCCAGACGGCTCTGCCCAGGGCAGCCGTGCCGGTCCAGGCCGGGCTGGGTGGTTCCTGCTGCCGGGTGTCTTCCCTGCCAGGTACGGCCCTTCTGGCGGGCCCCACAGACCCGTGGGTGTGGAGCAGGGCCGAGAAGCTGCTGCTTCACTGCCCACCTTTGAGGAACAGCCCGTAATTCGGCACCGCCCGTTTTTAAGCAGGGCACAAAGGCCCTTGAGACAAACCGCGTCTTTCTCGGGAACCTCTTCTGCTGCCAGCGCTTTGTGTGAAATTTAACGTGCGTTAAACCTCTGCAGCGCTAGGCAGGGAATTCTGTTATGACAGCTCTCCTGAGGCGAGGACACGCTTTCCCTCCTCGACAGCTGCTGGCCTGTCCCACCATCGCTGCCCACTCAGGTCCCTTTTCCCCCGTCCTTCCCTCATTAGACCATGCTTCACTGGCTTCTCCCCCCCCACCATTGAAGGCTCCCAATGCGTCCAGCACACTTGGGTATTTTGGTGAGGACATTCAATCCCAAAGCGTGTTTTCGTGCTCCAGGATAATAATAAATAATGGATGGTAAATAAAACAGAACAGGGTTTTTATCTGTAACCCTCAGAGGCGATACAGGCACCGGGGAAGCTGCAAAGGCCTCTGAACTGAAGCCAGCGCTGGGCTGGGAGGCGGCATCTGTTTTCTCTCTGTTGTGCGATGTCAACACGGGCACTGAAGACTTCTGTTTCTGATAAAAAACGCGGCTGGGGAAGGGTTTCCATTGAGTCAAGCATGGCAAGCAGCATTTGTGCTCCTACCGATCCTCAAACCCGAAGGCAATCCTTACCGCTCATCTTCATCAGCACAACAGCCTCCTCCGGCTGCGGGCTCGGCTGTTGGGGAAAGGCCACACTGTGATCCCAAAACCCCAGCTGATACCAGGTGCATCCTGACCCTTCCCCGCCTGGAGAACAGCCGGGGACATTGCTCTGGCTGCAGGAGGTGCCTTTACTGGGGAATTTACCAACATTGCTTGTGTTTTTCACTCACTCAAGTACACTCCCGCCCTCCTTGCCCTTTTCTCATCTCACGACGATTCATTTGCCTTTTGCTGCTTGTCAGCAGCAGCACCCAAGGATCACCCCAGGCCCCAGGAGGCACATGGTGCGTGTCAAAGATAATCCTGCCCAAACAGCTTATCTCCCCAGCAGGCAGGAAAGGCAGCAGACAGGCAGGGACGCTCGTCATAGCACAGCCAGGCCTGGAAACACAGGGCTAAAACGCACTGCCAGGAGCCCTCCGGTCCCCCCGAGACAGCCTCCAGCACGGCTCACCTCTGGCACGCAGTCATCCAGCCTTTAGAAAGCTTCCCACCCGAGCACAGCCTGCATTAGTGCTGAACTGCATCTCCTGAGGGAGATTTTTTCCTGATACGCAACGCAAATCTTCTCGGTGCCATAGATCCTGCATTTCCACAAGTTTCTCACCCTCTCTGCCAGTGCTCAAGGCCGTACCTTGTCCAGTCCGGCATCTCTGGCTCCGTACTCACTCACTCGCCTTGGAAAGCTGCTCCTGCGGCTCTCCCAGCCCACGTCAGCGGTCCCATGCATCCAGCAGTGCGTGTTTAAGGGCAATTAAAGGCAGGGATTCCTTAAAACGCCCTGTGAGCCAGACAGTCTGCTGAAATCTGTGTAAAACTTGTTCTTTCCCCCTTGTATTTCTACAGGAAAGTTCACACCTGGGAGAAATGGGGAGTTGGGACCTTCCCTCTCCAGGCAGGGTGGCTGGTGGGTTTGCACAGACACGCCCCCCACCAGCCCCAGGGGCAGCTCTGCAGCAGCCCCGAGGGCAGTGAGGGAAGCAAGCAGCTGCCTGGGCTTGTTTGGTTTTTTTTAGAGGCTCTGTTATTTGTTTGACACAGTTTCCAGCTGTTGCCGTTTGCTTTTGGTCAGTGTGTTACAAAAAGAGAAGAAAACATTGGAGAAAACATCCCTGACAGTTCCCTTTCTGTGAGTTGCAATTTACTTTATTTTGAATTTTGCATTAAAGGATCATCATGGTTGAACCCCAGCCAGCAACTAGGCACCACACAGCTGCTCGCTCCTCCTGTGCCAGTGGGATGGAGAGAATTGGGGAAAAAAAAAAAGTAGTAAAATTTGTGGGTTGAGATAAGGATGGTTTAATAACTAAAGCAAAATAAAATATAATAATAATAAAATATAATAACTGTAATGAAAAGGAATATAGCAAAAAAAAAGGAAAAAATAAAACCCAAGACAAGTGATGCACAATGCAGTTGCTCACCACCTGCTGACTGATGCCTGAGCAGCGATCGGCCCCTCCTGGCCAACTCCCCCCAGTTTATATACTAAGCACGACATCCTGTGGCACAGAATATCCCTCCGGCTGGTTCAGGTCAGCTGTCCTGGCCACGCTCTGTCCCAGCTCCTTGTTCACCTGCTTGCTGGCAGAGCAGGGGAAACTGAAAAATCCTTAACTCTGGATAAGTGCTGCTTAGCAACAACTAAAAACATCAGTGTGTTATCAACATTAGTCTCACACTAAATCCAAAACACACTGTACCAGCTACTAAGAAGAAAATTAACTCTATCCCAGCCAAAACCAGGACAGTGATGTTTTAAGCCCTTCTCCTGGAAGGGATGTGGTTACATACGAACCTCTACCTTCATTAAGAAACAGCCTGCTAGCCCCTGTGGCCATGCGCCAGAGCTTGGAGAAGGCTGGGGAGGAAGAAGAGGAAAAAAAAAAAATAAGAGAGGGCAATGAAGTAAATCCCCAGCGCAGTAGTTTTGGAGAGGTCCATGGTTTCCTTGAGCCCCTCTCCGGTTCCAGGCAGCGGGAGGACTTCCACCTCCTCCTTGCCCTGAGCGAGGGGACACCCAGCACTGGGCGGGTGACACCCGGGAAGCCAGCGGGGGGGTCAGATGAGGCCAAACAGCTGCGAGGGTGTCCTCCAAAATAGCAGCCCAGCGGCCAGCTCCACCGCCCCAGTCAGAAACCCCAGCACGTCCCAAGGGGGACGGGCCGTTCTCAGCCTGGGTGCTGGTGCGGCCGCCTGCCCCGGACAGCCTTGGCAACGGCAGAGGTGCTTCTCCCGTGGGGATTCTCCAGTGTCTAATAAGGTTTGGGCCTCACACCACTGCTCCCCCCCTGCATAGGGCCATTAGAAGGGTCTCCCAAGAGGAAGGTTTTCACCAGACACATCGGAGCACGCTGCAGCCTCCTCCCCAGCCCAGCCAGCACGAGGGCACGTGCCGTGCCAAACTGCTGGGGTGAGGGTTTGCATTACGACAGCCAGCTCCAGCGTAGGTAGAGGCTGCCGGCACAGCCCGTGCCATGCCAGCTCCTGCCAGGGAACAGCTGGTCGCAGGTGCCGGCACACTTGGTTCATGCATTTACCAGCCACACACCTGCTTCCAAACACGCAGAGGAACCAAGATGTTTGCAGCTGCAGCTTCCTCCCAGGCCCCACTGCGCTAGAGGTTAAAAAACCCTTTAGCAAAGGGATTGAGCCAGGCTCGGCTGGGAATCACACACAGGGTGCCAGCTCCAAGAGCTGAGCGGATATTTTGAGGCAGTAAAGGACAAATCCATGAGTTCTGCCTTTCCACGAGAGCTGCTGGCACCACATGGGATCACAAAGCACAGGCAGGAGTGGCCCGAGCCCATTTTCAGGGGCCTGAGCGGTGTCACAGCACATCCCTCCACCCCGGGATCACCAAAGGCTCAGCAGGTCCCCAGGGACGGGGGGTCAGAGCACAGCGATGCTCTGGGTCTCACCCCAGCTCCGTTGCTGGTTTGTTTGGGGTGTCCCAGCCCCGTAACTGCAGGAGGAGCTAGGGGAGGCTCCAAGGGCTGCTGAGCATCTCCAGAGCGCAGAAGAGGGGGTGCACGGGAGCAGACTGCCCCGCTGAGGCCCCCCAGGCTCCTGCCAGCGCTGCATTTCCCTCCTGCTCCCTCGCAGGCTTTTCTCATGATAGCGCCTGGCCACATGTGATTTACTTCAATCTCAGCACCGAGTCCAGAGTGCTGGAAAGCAATCCCCCAAATTCTGGTAAGTGCCGTGCTTCCCCTTCCCAAGAGGGACGGGTTCCCAGCAGCAGGAGGGCAGGATTGATTGGAAACGGTCTACTGCAGAGAAACCCAGGTGGGAGGCAGCTCCCAT